TCAACAGAGGTTAGGCTTAGAACCTCACCCCCGTTTTGAGAGAACTCTTCTGCATCCGTGGATGTTTTGTTGCCCTTGTCTAGCTTGGATTAATACTTAGTCTATAGGCACACACCTGATCATCTACATTTGCCCTCTTACAGCACTAAACTATGTTTTCTACCTTTATCTTGCATCTACCTACCACTTCAGCATTTTATTTAAAATAATAATAAAATAGTAATAATAATAATAATAATATAATAAGGGAGAAATGTGGGATTCACATATAAATCAAGTATAAAAATCAAACGAAAAAAAAAAAAGGAAAACTCCAGTAAAAACTCACTACTGTATTTAATATTCAAGAGTTGCTCTGGTAGGAAATAACAAAAACTTTCTCCAGAACAGGCCACTCTTACAAAGGTATTTCTTATCTCCAAGCCAGAATTCTCTACAGATGCCTGGGGTTCTCTCTCCTCTGTTGATCCCTCCCCCACCACCCACTTCATCCCTCCCCTCTGGCTCCAGCCTTCAGGAAAGATCTGTGCATAGTGACCTCTGGCCACTGACAAAGAGGTTGATCTGGAATTTGCAGACTTCCATTCAACAGCTGTCCAACCCCTTTTCCTCAGGACGCCACTTCAAAGGAAGTCAGCCACTGGGCTTGGTGATGATAGACATTACCCATATATAACACATCTTACCCAAGTCACATGGTGTGAAGGCACTGATATGACAATGCATTGAGAAATGAGTACACAGTGGTTTAAAAGGCCTTTTGATTTACGGATACAGGCACCTCTACATGCTTTTCAGAACACATTACAATGAAGAGGACACAGGATGGTCTCACAGAAATAGTGTAATAAACATCATAGAGCCAATGCAATAAATACCTAAGAGCAAACTTTTCAATTAACCACAAAGGTTTTGACTGATTTGTCAAAACCATTTTTCTTGACTGAATCAACTCCTATTTTGTCATATGACATAGAAAGGCTCCTTTAAATAAGGTATGCTAAAAAAAGATACCCAGTATAACATTATTGATAGTAGCAATAAAGAGAAATAAAAGGAAATGAAATAAATCATGTCTAGTTTTTAAATTTTCTGAATATTTTTAGAGTTACCTACTATCAAGGCACCAAATTTAATATTGAGGGTGCAATGTTAAAAAAGGACAGACATGAAATCCACCCTCACACAGCTTCCCTTCTATTACAGGAGACAGACACTAAAATAATTACATTGCGTGTTTTCTTCCAGCAGTTATCACAATATTCTGTCCTAAACAGTAAGAGTAAATAGTGACATAATATGCAGACATTTTAGGTGACATTTAAGAGGCTTTAATAATGATAGAAAATGTTATTACAAGAGTAGTATTTAATAAAAGCATAAGATTTCATCAGTTTTTGAAAAAAGTATAGAAGGAAAAGTCAAGAGGCGTAAAATGCGTCTATAAGAATGAAAAACTGAGGGTGGCTAAGAATGATGAAAGCAACATCTACTCCCAAATAAACATATTTCCAAGCTACAATAAATAAATGGGAAATGGGACAAGGCTCAATGAATATCTGGAGCACAGGACAAACACCTATGCAAGGGTCTGTTTCTGGACTAATACTTCAAAGTATGGTTTAAGTGTTTCAAAAGTAGCATTTTAAGTCAGTGAGAAAAGAGTAAGCGAGGAAATAACTAGCAAGTTGACTATTCAGAAAAGTAAATGAACATAGGCCTTTACATCACATCATAAATTCCAATGCACAGCCATAAGAAGAAAACAAATCCTACAATTTGCAACAACATGGATGGAGCTAGAGAGTATTATGCTCAGTGAAATAAGCCAAGCAGAGAAAGACAAATACCAAATGATTTCACTCATCTGTGGAGTATAAGAACAAAAGAAAACCTGAAGGAACAAAACAGCAGCAGAATCACAGAACCCAAGAATGGACTAACAGTTACCAAAGGGAAAGAGACTGGGGAGAATGGGAGGGTAGGGAGGGATAAAGGCGGGGAAGAAGAAAGGGGGTATTATGATTAGCATGTATAATGTGGGGGGTGGGGGAAAGGGGAGGGCTTTGCAACACAGAGAAGACAAGCAGTGATTCTGCAACATCTTACTATGCTGATGGACAGTGACTGTAATGGGGTTTGTGGGCGGGACTTGGGGTAGGGGAGAGCCTAGTAAACATAATGTTCTTCATGTAATTGTAGATTAATGATAACAAAATAAAAATTTTAAAAAAAATTCCAATGCAACATGACAGTACAAATTTCACTAGTAAACCTAAAAAATACCTGTATTTTACATAGCAACAATCCAAATTATTAAATAAGTAATTATTACATTTCCAAAAAATTCCAGATGAATTTCAATGTTAAAATTTAGAAACCAATAAATGAAATTTAGGAAACTACTAAACTGATTTTGGGGTGGGTAGGCATTCTAAGCATAAAAGAAATCCCATTTTAAAAGACCATAAAAGATTTGACAACAGACATTTAAAATAAATTGCTACACAGGAAAAAAAAATCATGACATATGTCCCACACCATATAGTTTCACATGATAAATATAGTTAAATGACCAACAACCGACAGGGAAAAATGTTTGCAATGTGTGGCACTAAAAGGTTGATACTCTTCACATATGGAATGTTCTTATAATCAGTAAGATATAAACAGTCCCAATGGAAAAATGTGCAAAGGACATGAACATAACTGATGGACAAATAAAGATAAAAAAATGCATTTAAAATATTCAACCATAATAGCAATGATAGAAATGCTAGTTTAAGATTAAATTCTATGTTTTACTAATCAGATGAAAAATGGTTATTATCCAATATTAGGAAGAAGTAAAATATACCTGCCAGCTAGCTTCTTAATTGGTACATTTGCTGAGAAGGCAATTTGATAAAATGTATCAAAAACCTTATTTAAACCATTTGATCCAGTAACTCTACCTCTAAGGTATTTATCCAAAAAATAATTAACAATCAACATTTCACACACAGACACCTGAAAATTAAGCATCCATACTATGAAACTGGTCAAAGTAACAGAACTAAAAAAATGTAATACTATGTGGCCATTATGAAATGTTAAGGTCTCAAAGCATTTTTAATGACATATGAAAAGTTTACAAATATAGTAAATGAAGAAAAAAGATATATGCCTGTAGCATGATCACAATTTTAACACAAATGAAATAAGGTTAGCAGTGGTTTTGGGGTGATATTAGAGGAAATTTCGATTTTATTTATCTTTTAATTTTCTTATACTTTTCTAAATCATCCAGATGCTCTGTAATGAATAAGTAGATATTTTAATAATCAGTAAAATGTAACTCAAAAAGTATCTAAAGTTAATATACCAAATTAACACAGGATGGAAAGACTATGGGGCAACTCTTTTTCTCTTTTAACTACACTGAGCAAAGAATAAACTCTTTTTAAAAGATCTAGTATGCTGACTGCCAAACACTGTCGCAAGTTGACTGAAGGAGCAGGGGTAGAGGGAAGGCAGTGAAGGCCTTACAGAAAGGCCCTGTGTACAGTCTTGGTCCAGCAGTTGGGTCTCAGGCCACTTACTCCTCAGCTCAATATTCGGTGAACATCATCCATTTCTTCATGATATGTTTAAGCAAGAAAGCAGAGGCGCAGAGAGGAAATCAAAAGTTGGTGCCATCTGACCTTCTGTGTAAGCAGGGTAAGTGGCCAAAGCCATTGCACAACATAGCCACACAGAGGTTTTCTCCCACATGGCCACCTCCCCCGCCACCAACAGCCACCAGCCTCAGCAGATATAGCACAGATCTCAGGACCTAAGCCAGTCACCCTACCTTCAGCTGAGCTTGGATTGGTGACAAGAGGAGGCCACTGAGTGACCCACCGGGATAAGCAGCCCTTCCAGTGGGCCAGAGGGGGCTGTTTCCAACCAAAGGCAGATGCAGGGCCACCTGCTAATTCTGAGCTGGTTTTCTGGCCCAGAAGACAGGTAGGTCATCAGCACTTCAGAGAGCCTGATGATCAAGTTGGATTTCCACTTTAAACTGGCTCCCCAAATTGAGGAGTCAAAGTTCTCCAGAAAGGAGGCAGTCTAAGACAAACCACTACACCCTGTAGCTCCCCTGCAATGATGAAGAACCCTACAGAAAATGGTGCGTTCCACTGTGCCCCTCTGCTCTTCCCTGTAAAACAAAGGGGCAATTAATCCACCTGATGCCAGGGTGTCTATGAGGTGACTCAGGAAGGAAGTGCAATAAATACATACACATAAGCATATAAAAACCACAAACTGCCACCCGTTAGGAAACTTACTCACATGCCCTAATAAAACGGACTCAGCAATTGAACACCCACTATCATGCCAGTTCACGCACCTTCATTTTTTCCAATGTCCCAAAATTACACATCTCATTTTACACATGTAACACTGAGGATCAGCAAAAAAGAAATGGCCAAAGTCACAGAGCTAGGAAGTAATAAAGTTGGAATTCAAACCCCAAAACCCATGTATGCATTTCTTTGCCCTCTTCTCCACAAAGGGCTTCTGTCTGGCTTGTGTGGAATCCAGCAGCCGTGCTGTGTTAGACAGGGCCAGCCTTCCCACCACCGCCAGACACAGTTCTAGCTAGAAACGTCGGCAGACCTAGCACACCAAAGATGCTCAATCTGTATTGGGGAAAGGACACAGCAACAGCTGCCAATCACAGCACATCTGCTGTGTGTGGGACCTACAAGAGGAAATGTTTCATGGTCACCCATATTTGGCCTGAACTGGGTAACATTACTGTTACGTTGTTCGTTTCTCACATGAAGACAGGGAGGCTCAGGGTAGTTTCACAGCTAGAGAATGGTATCTGACAGCACAGCCTCCTTCCCAAAGTCCATCTCTCCCACTGTGACAAGGCAATGAGGCCCAAAAAGGATGTTCAGGTCAACTCTACATCCCTTCTGGGCTGTGTCTGCAGTCCCAAGCTCAACCCTGACCTGCTGCCCCAGCACTACCTTGGTTGAGGTAGGTCAGTGTCTCCTCGTGCAGCTTCACAGCTGGGGATGTGGCAGCACACAGCACATACTGCAAGGGCGGCAGGCGGGCTTCATTCTCAGGGGACAGCTGGGGCTCCTCCTGCTTGAAGATGGGCAGGGCGAGCACATCCCTGCAACACACAGGAGGGAGCAGTCAGGAGCACAGTCCCAAAGAGCCTATTTGCAAAGATAGCCAAGTCGGCGAGGTGGACATAAAGACGGGTGACAAAGCAAAGCACAGCCCCAGAGCGCTGGCAGCTCTGACACCTCATGTCAAACAATCCAGATGCCTTCAAAAGAGCAAACCAATCCTTGATGACTCCATTTTCACTCAATGGCCCTGAAGAGATGTATTCAATAATATCAGCAAGGAGATAAAAAAGCAGTTATCTAACATCTACAAATTATGGAAGTCTCCTTGACAAGGCAACTAGCAGCAATGTATGAACTCCATATGCCATATGGTTTCCATCCACGAGAAACTGAGCATGATAGTCTTGCTTTTAGAATAAGAATCTGAACAAAAATTTCAAATATACTATTCACTAACCACTTCTCAGACCAATACAACCCTGTCCTTGGGGCTCTGTAACCAGGCAAATGCAGAAACTGTTACATTCACCCAGGATGAGACATCCCCAAACCTTTCTTTTAAAAATTAATTAAATAAATAAGACAACTGGCCCATAAACTCTACTTTACAGGTTATCTGAGTATCTCCTATGTGGAAAAAAAAAAAAGAAGGACCTTGGCTTCAATTTAGTCTTCTTATCCAAATGGAAAATATCGAGATGCTCAAAGAGTCGCTTCCTCTGCCTCTGAACAAAACTCCCTGCCACATCCCAGAAAATCAGCCTCACATCAGCCTATGACTGGAGAACTTGTTTCTAGATGTATTTTTTTTAAATGTCCTCCCAAGGGAAAAAGAAATCCTTAAGAAAGAATACTGTGGCAGAAGTGACTTGCCGGAGACCTCTAAATTAGGATAAGCATGGTCACAGGTGCCAAAAAAGTGCCAGTGCCCTTATCTTGATGACCCTCCTCCGTCCATGGGTGTCCTGGGTTATGAATCAGATTTGCTGACCCCACTTCATTATATAAACAGCAGAGTCAGTGGTACAATCTGTTCCTCATACAACACAATAAAGGATGTCTCTAAAACAGAAACGCGGCACACACCCTGGCAATGTCACCAATTCTCAAAAAGAAAATTCTGGCTTGGAGGACAGGCTGGAAAACCTCCCTGAAAAATTTGTGGGTCTCCCCCTGCCACCATTGTCTGTACAGTGCTGCCCCAGCACCCAGCAGCACAGCACACACTCCCAGCCCAAGTGGATAGCTAGGAGCCCAGATGAAGCAGCAGGCCTGCTCACCTGGGACTGCATAATAATTTAATGTTTGCCCAGAGCATGTTAAGTTAATAATCCATGGGCTGCTGCCTTTAAATTAAGAAAGAAAGAAAAAAAAAAAACCGGGAGGAGGTAGTGGGCAAGAACCATCATTCAACAGTAACTTGTTTCAAGCCTGGCATTCTTATTTGCCAAGGAATAAAAGTCACAAGAACATCAAACATGAAAAGAGAGGGAGGCTGCATGAAGGCCACCACTCTGTTAAGGGCAGGCGCCTTGCAGGGGGTTCCACAGGGTGAGAAGACGACCAAACATAAAATACAGAAACCAAGGAAAAGGACAAGACCCACTCTAGAGTCAGGGGTACAAAAGGGAATATTCATTGACCCACACTTGGCCTTCACTGAGGTCAGCCTCCAAGGGCAAAACCCCAGCTTCCAAGAAGTAAAATCAAAATGAACATGGACCACAGGATTCTATATCCAAGGTCCAAAAATTCGCCCAGAAACTGAAACGGCATCATGGCAACCTTATAGCCCAACTCCCACCCCACCCCCATCCCTTAACGCAATACCAAACCCCTCAAAAGTATCTGAGGCATTCCACAAATTTCCATCTCTGTAGCAGAGGCACCTCCCATGCAAGAGTAGAATTATTCCATAATGGATGACATTTAGGTATCCAGGAAGTTTTAAATACACTCAACCTTCATTCAGGGTCACCTTCAAACTCGTTCTTGAGATTTGGCTACATATTTAGTGGCAACATATTTTCAACAAATTAAAATTTAAGCAAAACTACAACTAAAGCTGCATCATGCAGTACAATAAAAGCATATTTTGCTGTAACATTTCCTGTAAGTGAACGGAGAGTCCCCGAGGAAGTAACATCTGCCCAGGAGGCTTCGGACAAGCCCCAGGGAACTTTCCCTCTGGTGACATCACCGCGGTCTGCAGGGAAGCTACCAATCCTTAATTAAGACCCATTATCACCTGCTGCTCTGGCTTATGAATAAAAACAGAAGACACATCGGTTAAAGTCTATCATTCCTTTGCCTTCTGGAACAAGCTCGTCAGAGAGGACTACTGGACACCCATCAGGAGCCAGGATTTCCAAATAACCTGTACTGCTAAACCGAGTGGGAACTCCTTGGGGCCAAAAAAAAAAAAGCACTCAGCATGGCCCGGAATTTGGAGCTGTCAGTACCAGCGACTCTCCCGCCTCACAACTCATTTTGTTTGAGTCCACACTTAACGCCCTTTGGGTTAAATTAGGCACATTTAATAAACTGAGACTAGGATGTAAATAAAGACAGGCTAAAGCTAGTTCAGGCGAGTTCAGAAAGTGAGATGTCTGCCAATTAGCACCCGGCCAGGTGTAGAACAGGGAAAAACAATCCCCCAGAAACTGGACCTAACGGGGGTCCTACTTCCTTGAAGGGGATACGGGAGAACTTTGCAAAACAAGGGCTAACTTTTCCCTTTGAAGAGCACTACTCAAATCACTCCAGAAGAAAGATTTCCATCAACGGCAATAAACCTGCGGGCCTCAGGCCAACATATCCAAGACCACCTGGTGGGAGGGAATCCCTGCGCCTCTCGAGCTCCTGTCCACCGCCCGCCAGGCTGCTACGCAGGTCAGCGCTCGCCACTTCACTCGCCCCTCGGCCGGGCCAAGGACACCGCGAAGGGCGCACGGCTCCGAGTGGGACCGGGGCGGAAGGGGCAAAGAGCAGCGGACCGAACGTCCCCAGGGTAGGCACCGAACTGATAGCAGGAAGTGTTCTCCTCCCCGACGGCAGCGAGAAGAGGAGAGTAGCGAGGAGGACGGACGGGGCAGGCTGCGGCCTTCAGGGGAGTGCTGCGCACCCGCCGGGGTCATCCGGGGAGAACCATCGCGGGCACCAAGCTCACCAGCCCGTCCCCGACAGAGCGCGCCGCGGTCCACGGTCTGTCCTGAGTCGGGGCTCGGCGCGGCTCTCTCAGGCCCCAGAGGACGGTCAGCGGGGAGACGCGGACGCGAAGACGGCAAACGGGACCCCACACCCTGCGAGTCCCCGCCCGGCTCCCGGACGTCCGACGGCGCCGGGCCCGCACACCCGGGCGAAGCAGCGAGGCCCTTACCGCAGGTAGCTGCCGGAATTGTGCTGGTTGTAATGCTCGGGCTGCGTGTGCCAGAACAGCATGGCTGGACCTGCGAGTCCGCCCCGAGCCGGGCGTGACCCCACGCAGATGAGGGCCACGCTAACCGCCCCGGGCCCAGAAAGCCACGCTCCGGGCCGCTACGCTGCGGGCCCCGCGCATTTATGGACGCCCAGGGGGCGGGGTCTAGGCCGGACCGCCCACTAGGCCGCGCGGCGCGCACCTGGCGGACCGGCACGGCCCCGCCCTTGCCCGGAGCAAGCTCGCCTCTGGGGCGGTGGCGCCGAAGGGGCGTCACGGCCGCGGGCTGGGCTGAGATCCCGCCCTCTCGCCCTCCCCCGAGGGTGGGGCTCTGGTGACCCTCACCGCAGCTCCGACGACCTCGCGCACCTCTGCGCGCTGCTCTACCCCTGGCTCCCGGGCTGTTCCCCAGAGCGGCACCGTGGTTAGGGAGAGGCCGCTCCGGGCTTGGATGTCAGGGACCAGAGCCGCCTTACATCGCTCTTGTCTTTTCATAGCCCGTTACACTCTCTGAAGTCGTGGTATTTTTTAATTTCTACTTGTGTTCTGATTGTCTTTCCCACCGCAGTGTAGGCCCCATGAGGCAAGGCCTGTACCCTCTGACTCACCGTGTATCCCCACTGCCTTGAAAGTGTTTAGGACACGGTAAATGCTCGATAAATATTTGCTGAATAAAATTCATAGGAATAAAGTAAAATAAAAAGGAATGCATCAAGTGGATAATCAGAGAAGGCTTCCTGGAGGAGGTGACATTGAGCTGAGCCCTTATGCGGAGGAAGCGCCTCTGTGGTCATCTAGAGGGAAAGTGATTCCACACAAGAGCAACCGTACTTGCCAAGGCCTTTGGCAGGGCTGGGGCTGGGTGACCACAGGGAGAGCTTAGGAAAGATGGGCCAGGCAGCCCTGCCATAGAGCTGGGAATTTACCCTAAATGTGGTTTAACCGAGGAGTTGAATATGTGATTTGACTTTTGGAAAGATCAGTCTGTAAGGAGTGCAGACAGGGGACAATGGAGTTGGGGGCTGAGTAGTTCAGTAAGGAGACAGTGAAGGTCACAGGGCCATGACCCACACCCAGGTGACATCTAGACCCCCACTACATGGCACAGAAGAGCCAGACTTCTGTCCCCAAGTGTCAATCAAATGACTGAAGTCCTGTGCAGACCCAAGCCTGGATGGCCACGCACTTTCTCTGAGCAGCTCTCAGGGACTACTACCTCCCCACTGCTCTCTTACCCTGTGAGGAAAACCAAAATGTGCCACTCAGATACCCCTTCAAGGAAGGACTTTTGCCAGCCACAGAGCTAGCCTTCAGCCATTGGTCCCTAGAGGAACAGCCTGTGCTACAGAGAGCCCCCTCACCCAAAGTCACACCCATGTTGGGGTGGTCCACATCCCAGTGACTATTGAAGTAGGAGTTAAGAGTCTAACCATCTCTACATGGGCTATTTTAGCCCTAGGACTGACTCCCCCAGTAGTCACTTGAAGCCACTTGAAGCTGTCATGAGACTTCCCTCAGCCCTTGCTTCCCTCCCATCCCTTGCACAGGTGTTAATCTCAAGGAAACTTCCTAGTAAATATCCTGAAAGCTAAACTCTGTCTCAGAGTCCATGACAAGCACAGCATTTAAGTGGGAGGCACTCTGGGGTGGTGGTGTGGAAAGAGCATGCCCTTTATCGAATTCTCTCACTGGACAAATACTCCCAGGGCACTTGCTGTGTGTCAGGCATGGTGGGTACTGGGGTGCAAGTTTGCATTCTAATTGGAGAGGCTGGGAAGTTAAGCAGCAGATACAGTACAGTATAATTAAGGAAGCAGAGGCTGCCCTGGGACCTCAAGGGAGGACTTGGGAGCTCTGGAAAGTCTCCCTGGTAAAGTAACATTTCTTGATGGACAGTAGGTAGAAGTTAGGCCAATTTGTGAAGTGGGGGAAGGAAGCGGGTCTCCAGCTGAGCACAAAGCATGTGCAAAAAACCCTGGGGGAAGGGCAGCAAGACTGGGAAACAGATTACAATGGCTTAGACCTGAGTTTACCACCTGACTCTGTCAGGACCTATGACCCTGGCAGGGGGACTACTGTGCAGGCTGAACTGACCACATGCTGCTTGCCCCATCAAGATGGCCCTGTGACTTGCTTTGACCATAGAATGCTGTGGAAATGATGCTGTCCCTGTTGCAGGCTGGCCCCTAGGAGACCAGGCGTCTCCTGCCTCTGCTCTCCTAGAGTTCTGGATCACCATGTAGAAAGTCTGCCCCATTGAAAAGTGAGGCTCAGCAAGCCCCAAGCCGTCCCTGCCACCAACAGAGGCCATCTTGGATGTAGCGGTAGACCTGCTCCAGCAGCTGCCACACAGCAGAGAAGGGACCCAGTCCACTAAGCCCCACCCAAAATGCAGACAGCAAGAAAGTAAATGGTTGTGGTTTTAAGCTATGAAGTTACGGGATGGTTTCATACCAACAGAGAAATGAGATACTTGGCCCTTTGAACCTGTTTTGCCATTGGTAAAATGGGAATAATAAGCCTTCAGGGGTGTGATGATGCTTAGGGTCAGGTGAATGCAGCCTGGTGGGAATAAATGACTGTCTCTGTACGTTTTAGGTGACTGCATACCCTCTCTCCTTTCCTCAAATTTAACCCTCTTGAGGGTAGATTTGGCAACACCCACAGAGCTTGCACCTGAGTCACGCTATGTGAACAAGAATGCATATCACTGCCTGTGACTTGTCTGTGTTGCTGAGCACAGTTAGGCCCAGTGTGGGCCCCAGAGGCTTCCAGTCCAGTGAGGAGAAGAAAGTAGGCAGTGCAAACAGTATCCTACCAGTCCCTCATCTTAGTTTGTAAATGTCAACGATTGACTTACAGTGGAATACTGGCTTTTACTCTGTGCCAGGAGCAGCACAAACAGATCTCCCAGTGCTGAGAAGGAGGCACATTGCCCCTTCTGAGGCTTAAAAGGCTGAATGCCACAGCTGGGTTTTGAGGCCAGATCTGAGAGCTCAGGGTCCATGCTGCTTGGTGATCATAATTCCTGTCCTAATGTCCTGCATCCCTTTCACTGAACACAGTTGGACAAATGTGCTGTGATCAAATGTATATCTTCTCCTAAGGAGTATCCCAGGGCCCCAAAGGTCTTTAGGGGGCAACACTTTCTTGGTAGCTCCCAAAGGGAGTCCAGCTGCTCTGGGCTGGGGCCTGATGGCTGAGTGGATGGTTTTGATGGTTGAAGAGGAGTTTGAGGATGGCTAAGGCTAGTGGAGGGGGGATTCTAGCCAGAGGGAAAAGGCTTCATAATACCACAGTATTATTTATAGTAGTAAAAACTGTAGACAAACTAAATGTCCCTCAATAAAAGGCTAGATACATCAACTGTGGTCTGCTGTACCACAGAGAGGATGGATTACTCTCCGTGCATGAACATGAATTAGAGCTATGTGGATGAAGCTCGCAAACATAAGGATGAGCAAAGAAAAACAAGTTGTAGATTACACATTTGTGATATTGCTTTGGAAGGCTTAGAAACATCCAAAATAATAGCAGGGGTCCTTGCCTATGTGGCTAGGAAGTGATAAACACAATACTCAGAGTATGCGTTACCTCTGAAGGGGGAGCTTTCAGCTGTATGATTTATTTATGCCAATAACTTATTTTTTAGGCAGGGTAGGAGGGACACAAGTGGCCATTATAACATTCTTTGTCTATTTTGGCAATGATATTCTTGTATGTTTGGCAATATAATGAAATTAGTATTTCATTAATAGATTTATTTCTAAGTATATGCAAAAGCCAGAAGCATTGCAGGTCCTATGTGCCATAATAGAGAAAAGAGAAGGATCATCTTTGCCTGGCTTCAGCGTTTAAGTTTAACATATTTTGCCTGCAGAGGGTGGAGCTCCTTCTAAAACAACTGGAAAAGACCAGTGTGGATGAACCCAGGTGGCAAGTAGCTGGTATCTGGCCAGACACCATGACCCTTCCCTGGTCAGGCTATGCCCCATCACCCAATATCAGCTGCCCAGGGCCCACACTCAAAGCAGGGACTCCTCAATTTGGGGATAGATGGAAAGAAGGCAGCCACACCAGCTGTCCACATACTGAGAGACAGGGCTGGAGGGCCTCAACAACGTCTGCTCCTGAAAAGCCATTGATTTTCCTGACTTGGGCTCCCTGCAGGGGAGAGGAACTGAAGTCCCAACTATTATTTTGGGATACCTGCTCTAGGTTGGGCACATTCCACAGCATCCCTGGGAGGTAGGGGCTGGGTGCCCTTTTATGGATGGGCAAGGTGAGGCTTTACCAGAGTGAGGAAACTGCCAAAGTTTGCAAGGCCATGACGTGGACAAAGAGGGCAAAGGGCCAAGAGAAGGTGGAGACTGTCATGCTTGCCTGTCTACCCCCAAAAGGGACCCCTCACCTGCCCCTTGGCATTGTCTCCTGGGAGTACTCTAAGGCAAAGTGCTTCTGTAGAGCTCAGGAACAGAGATTTCCTCCTGGGGAGAGTCTCTCCTGTGGGTGTTTGGTGGGCAGTGGATTACCAAAACCCAGAGCTTTTTGTTCTCAGGCTGGAGGCCTGGCTGGCTTTCACTGCTCTGCATACCGCCCAAGCATGAAAGTGGGATGGGCCCAGTGCTGGCAGGAGGGAGCCCTCTTAGATCTGGTCTCAGGCTTCCGGGGCCCCTCTTCACAGCACCTCAGAGCTGACTCCTGCTGAGGGACAGGCCCCCAGCCAGGGGGTAGGAAGGAAGCTCCTATCTGCTGAGCATTATCTCTGCAGAGACCAATTAGCACACTCAATCCCCCCTATGCCTCTGTGCCTCTGTGAGGTTCACTGTGATTACCCCAGGAGGGGAAACCAAGACTCCAGATGCTGGAATGACTTGCCCAAGGTGAGTTGGCTAAGATTCACGATTTGAACCCAGGCCACCTGACTCTGGACGTTTGTGCTCAGGCCTCTGTTCTGTTACAGTCCCTTGCCGGCCAGCCTCAGCCAGGCATGGTGGGCAGCTGTGCACAAGGTTCTGGCCAACCCAGCCTACACCCAATCTTGTGCCTGCCCACTGAGGAAGGCCTCAGGAGTTGAGAGCCCTACTGGAGAAGGCAGGATCTTTCTTCAGTTTGTGCTGCCAGCAGGCCCTGGCATCTCCTAGGCAGGGGCCATGTCCCCAGCCTTCTCTAACACAATGGCAGCTTTCCACCCATCACCAATCTCATTTTTAATTACTTCTTGAATGTTCAAAAATTTGTGGTGGATTAAAAAGCCCAGGTTTACATTCTGCTGCAAGTAATAGAAACCCCAAATAAAAATGGCTTAAATGAGAGAGCAGCTTATTTCATGATAAATGGTAATATTTTGAATATTCAGTTAAATACATTATACGATTAAAATTAATTTATCGATTTATTTTTATCTTTTTCAGCGTGAATACTAGAAAATTTAATTATGTGGCTTGCATTATATTCCTATTGGACAGAGCAAGTCTAGAGCAATGGTTCTCAACCAGTGGTCACTTCACCCC